TTATCTTTTCCCCCTCCTCATGTGACAAAATAAGCTCTTGACACCCATCTAGAATGAATTCACTTATAAGAAGCTCTAAGTTTTACATGATTGTGTTCTTCTGGTCTTTTTAATAAAAAGCAAATATCATTTAACAGTGCCTGCACAAAATCAGTAGAATTTAAAAATAGCAAAAAACATGAACCAGTGAAAGAATTTTGTAATTCTTCCATTAATTTTTCTTAAGTCTTTCTTTTTGTGTCTGACCAAATGTTGCTTGAAAACTGTTAAGAAAAAACACTTAAGAGCATCACACTTATTTATTTAGTATTTTTTTCATGGCAAGCCTTTTCAGTAAAATCCTATGTAAGAAATGGAAATGAAGGTACAAGAAAGTTAATGGTGACAAGAGGCTTAAGTTAGTTTAAAAATAAGGAACTGGGCCCGTATCGCTCTTGGATGACTGAGAATCTAGGAGGATATTCTCTTTCTAAGAGCTCAGTGTTTTAAGCTTCCCAGCTTCAGCACAAAAGGCATCTCAGCACATATGTGATGCAGAAGGTCAATCATATGAAATCCTATTTCCATTTTTTAAGCAATCCTTGGCAGCCTGCACATATCTGAAATTGCAACTGGCATATTTCACAGAGAATTATCATCCTTGCCTTTTCAAGGTCAAACATGCTGTGTCTTTAGATTTTCAGCATTTATATTCTAGAGATTAAAACACAGTATATGTTAAAGACAGCACTCATCAGAGGCATTAAGTAATTTTAATTGATTAGACCATGTTCATTAATGTCACATTGAATTTTCTCTATTTGTCATAAATAAATGCTAAAAATATTAAAATGTGTGTTAAATTTAGATGTGGGCATTTTGTGTCTGTCATCATCACTAGAACCCCCAAATGCCCATGGGTTTAGAATTCTGCTATGGGCTTTCTTAATATATGAAAACACACATTTCTTATCAGGAAAGTTGAAGCAATTCCAAAAATGTGCTTTGAGGATAGAATAAGAAAAAAAAAAACTATTTTTATTTTTAAATCATTAGAACCTCATTTTATTAGTCTTCATAGAAACAAAGAAAAACTGTATTTGTACTTTACAGTACTGCCAAGACTGGATCTGAGCAAGTACCTCTGTGGGTACCTTGATGAGGTACCCACAGCCATCCTGTCACAAGGCACTGGGAGAGGGCTTTGGTCTCCTCTGGTCAAACATTGCTTGTCTGGTTTCTTTCACTTTTCTCCTTCCAGTCCCCTCCCCTGACAATATCCAGAGACATCTATACTGTCATGCTTTGGAAAAGGAAAAAAAAAATCAGGGAAGTTTCAACAATTTTGGAGCTTCTACTAGCATTCTAACCCTTCTAAAGTTATGTACGTGTTAGATGAGAATTCCAGAAAGTGATTTGTGAGAGAGGAAATCAGGAAGAATAGTTATAGATAGCAAGACACATATCACACCCTTCAATTCCTAGCACGTGTAACCATTACTTGGGATATGACTGACCTTACTTCATACTGACTATCACTGGTATCTGTTCATAATCATTTTTGCCATTACCATTCAATTCACTACCTAAGATTATCTTTGAGGTGAGTTTGAGGGAGACCTGGGTGTGAGTAGCTCCCAGTAAATGAAGCTCCCTGTATGATCTGCTCCACCTCCCCAGGCATGGGACAGGCTTGCCCCTTGGATTATCTTCCCAGCATACTGTTTTCCACCTAGAACTTGTCCTCCACCTCAGGCTTCCATCCTTCCTTCCATTCTACAGCTTTAGCTGTGCCAAAGCTTCTGGAAGCAAGAAGAAGGAACTTCTCAGTAACTGTTCTTGTTTCTTTTTCTACTGGTTATTTCAGATGCTCTGTTTTCTTCCACATATTTTTACCATAGTTTGCTCCCAATTTAAGTTTATGCTGCTGTCTTTAAAGAGCCATTTTGAGACTTTTTGTGCTGGTTTACAGTCCTTCATTCATTCATCAGTCATTTTCCCATGTGAACACATCTTTATGGCATCTTTTCTTTTATGGTGGAGCTGTCTGTGCTCCACCTAAGATGTCTGTCTTCCCACCTGTTCAAGCAGTAAATATTTTTCCCTCTGCTAAGTATTTAATATTTCCCTTTCCATAGTAATCATTTTACATCAGCATTTTAAATAATGCTAGTTTACTCCCTTCTTAACAAATCAAAACTAAGTAAAATTCTACCATAAATCACACTTGCCCTTCTAACTACTCTTGTTTTTAATTCTTTAAACATCAAAAATCTTCTAAATAGTTCTTTTTATTTTGTTTCAATTCCCTTCTTCCCATTTTCATAATTCATTGGGTTTTATCCCCAGCCCATCAATGAAACTGTTCTCAATAACATTAATGTGGTAAAATACAATGGTCCATTCGTAGACTTCTATAGATTTGATCAATCGCAAAACCTCTCTCCTTTAGTCATTTTTGACATTCACTTTGAGTTATACCATTCTCCTTTATGATTCTTCTCTTCTTACCAAGTATACTTACTGAACTCTTCCATAGTTCTTATCATGTGAGCAATTAGATGCCCCAGGGAACAGTCCTGGGTTCTTAACCATCTCTGTCTAAATTTTAGTTATCCTCATCAATGTTCACAATTATGAAACCAATGGAAGGTGGCTATCACAAATATACCTCCAGTTTTGATCTCTTCCATAAATCTTAGATATTTATATCCAAGTCTCTATCCAAAATCTCTACTTGGGTATTTAAAAGGTTTTTCAAGATTGGTGTACCAAAGCTGAGTTCTTGCTCCTTGACATATATTGAAAACTTGGTCCACTTTCAGTCTTTGACATTTCATTAAATAGATATACATCATTCTCTTAGTGCAGGCAAAAATCAAATAAAATAGAAGTGTCAACAACAGAACAAACTCAAGATCTACCTTTAATTCATTTCTCTTACTAATCAATTAGAATGTTCAGTTCGATTATTTTACCCCAAGTTTACTGTTGCCATCCTAGTTCAAACCATCATCAGCCAGTCAATTAGAACATAGCTTGGGGGGCAGGGTAGGGTGATTTAATCCTGGTTTTTACACCGTTCTCAAACTGGGCTAGACGTGTTTTATCTCCTGGTGATACGAAAATAAATATCTCCAGATCACTTGGAACTTTTTCAATTCAATATGTGATCTGAGCAATCTTTACTTTTTAGGCTTTGAAAAATTATTCTGGAAAATATTGCCTGATTAGTCCAACAGGAACCAACTCCAAGTTCACCTAATGGGATCTCACTTATTATGCAGTAACAGGGTTTTGCTGTGTCTCCACCTAACTGAATTCCCATTCTTAAGAGTCTTGGACTTCAGGCTTCCTTGGAGTTGTTGGATGTAACCCTACGAACACATCACAGTTCACCATCTAAAACTGAGCCATTTTTTGTTGTTAGTATCTATGGATCTTTACATAGAAATCTGTAAGGTTATTAACAAAACACAAAGTCTAGAAAGACTTATAAACATACTTTGTGTGTTCCATAAAATCTAATGGAATGATTCAGCAAATAATTGTATTTGAATGTTTATAAAAAAGAATTAACCATTGTGTTTTAATGGCAAATTAGGACATTTTGAATTGTAGAGATAAAGTCACTTAGAAATCACATCAGCCACATTTTTGTTTTGAATTTCAAACAACCCAGACTCAAAACTAAAGTAAAATGCTCCCACACTCACAGGAGTCCATCAAAAAGCCTTCACAGAAAAAAAACCTTAAGGAAAGCCATTAGTGTATCCTAGAACAGAATCTACAATACCAATTAAAATTGGGCAGAAACAAAAAACTAATATAAACTAATATAGCTCCCAGCAATAAATAAATTGATTTTAAAGATAAACATATTCAAATGTTAAAATTTTTATGAAATTTTACATTTTAGACCAGGTAATAAAATAAATTTCTATTTTAATAGTCCAGAGGGGGAAAAGCAGATATTCTTTCAAAAGAGCCTTCTAAAAATTGGTTTTTGTATTTTTTTTCTGACTCATATAAAATTACCTTCCATAAATTGTTGCAAAAGTGCAACATTATCTGGCATCTCAATGAGCGTAAATAGTTCATTCTAAAAGAATACTTTCTTTCCTTCAGATCATAATCTCAGAGACTAAGCAAAAGTACTAATGCCAAATTAGGTGAAAATCCATAAGGAACTATCAAAATATCCTGTGATTATTCAGTTATCCAGTTAATTGACATGAATTAATTTCCTATATTTGGGATTTTTGCACACAGCAGTGAAGAAACAAGACTCTATCAAAAACCTGACATGTATCCACCTTTACTACTGGAAAACACACACACACACAAACACACACCTAAACCACTGCAACATTCTCTTGAAAAATGAAGCCATATTTACCCTTCTTTTGATATCAGTTAACAAATTTAACCTTAATTTGGAAGGTTGAAGGATGGGCCTCATTAGCTTATAGCTGGTAGGTTTTATAACACAAGAGTAATTTTATTTAAGCAAACTTTTTGGTACCAGACAAGAGACCAAAACAGTACAATTCTGCACAGAGACCACACACCAAGGATTCCACCTGCCAACATCTCATTATTGATGAGTCTTAGTCATATTCTAGGAAGAAGATGAACTCTATTTCAAGAACTATAAACAAAGGTTTTTAAGTTAGAAATTTCCATCAAACTCTGTCTATTAACATGTTCATATGTCCCCTTGTGCCATAAACAAAATGTTGTTGAGCATGAGCCTTTATTTGGAGGAAACTGAATTCTGTCCCCAGCCCATCTGTCTACCATATGCACAACATACAAGTAAATAACTTTTGTTAACTAAAAAAGCAGACTCTACCCATGAGATGGATGAAGTTTTTGCTACAATTCAGATGCTGCTTTCACCTTATCAGTCAACTGAGTCTTACAAAACCCTACTTGACTAGGTAATAACACAGTCTTAGTAGCACTCACATACTTACTCATGTGCACAATATTTGCTATATATATATATTTATATTTACCGCTTTATTGCTTCTTCTTGTCTTCGGCGTTTTTCATTCTTCTCCTTCAGATAGGCCAGGTTTGTTTCATTTCTTAAGCGATCATTCTCACGAGCAATGTCAGATGCATTCTGAATAACCAGGTCATCATATGCCTTCATCCCCATATCCTCAATATACTGAAGAAAAGTGTCCAAAGGGTCTCCCTCAGGATTAGCACTCATCATCTTGGAGGGTAGCATGTAAAAGGAATACTTCCTGCAGGGTGAAAACACAGCACACCATTAGCAAAGGTGGGGATCAAATCAGTGTTTGCTATTTCCTTAATGTTTTGTTGGGCCAAATCTCCAAAGTGTTATCATACTGTTCACGATTCACGTGATCCAGGTGAGTTACAATATTTGGGAAAGTTATAGTATGAAGCATTATAGAAGAATGATATGAAAAATAATGGTCAAAAAGAACTGTATCCTATTCAAATTATATTAGAAATGTATCTTTCCTTATCACTGCTGTATTTTTATGACTAGATCAGATTTATGCATTTTAATTTAAATTCTCTAATTGGAGAAAATGCCTCATTAGAAATTATAAGCCCCCAGAGTATTTGAAGTAATATTAAATAACTGTTACCTGAGTATCAAACTCCCTCAAAGCAGCAACCTTAGCAGGCCAAAGGCCAAAGGTCCTAAATGAAAGCTGACATGAAAGAACATATATTGCATTTGAAGATAAATATTTGGCTTATTAAAGTCATGATTTCATTTCATAAAAATGTATTCCTATATCAATTATACATAACATAAAAGAAGTTTAATTTCTTTTCAATTAAACAAAGATTTTTCTCTGCAATTTAAAATACAATGTCAAAATTATTTGAAAAATGATTGTATTATGTATGTTGTTATAATTTTAAATTAAAATTTGTTAATCTGAAATACTCATACAAAATATAACAGCAATCATGGAAAGACACATTTCTAATATAGTTTGCATGGGACATAATTTTTTTGTGAGCTTCCATTATTTTCCATAATGGTCCTCTATTATAGCTTTAAACTATACCTCACTATAACACAAATATTGTAGACCGTCAGAACCATATAAATCCTGATCAATCTGGTAATTTCAGAAATGAAAATTTGCTAGATAATTGCTACCTGAAGGTTTAAAATTTTAAGCCACGGAAAAAATAACTGAGAAATCAAACTCAAATTAAAACAAAATTTAAAAACACAAAACTTTTAACTGGCATATATTATTTTCATCTGTAAAATGGGTGGTAGTAATAACTCCTACCTCTTGCTGATGTGAAGATTAAGTGAGATGAGGGATATGAAGAACTTCAAATGAAGTTCAACAATAGATGCATAAAGTTAGCTAGTATCATAATAAAAGTATGGGAAGAAGATTGACAACAATATTAAGGTTAAATTGATACAAGGGGATTGATGGATGGATGGATGGATGGACAGATGGATGGATAGACAGATAAATGGATAGATGGATAAGCAAGTAGAATATGAAAACCAGCATGTCTTGAGGGGCAGGTTTGCAAATAATTGAAGATGGTGGCTAGAGAAATTTTGCTTTAGCAAATAACAAATAGAAACTAAGCAAAATTAATCTCAGAAAAATAATTTTCTCTTCTAGTTTAATAAAGTTTACTAGCCTCAATTGCATATTTGCTGTTATAGAAAACTGACAGAATTGAATCAGAATGAAAAAATAAAAATAAAAACCAATTAACATTAGAGGAAAAAGTTGGCCATTTTATATAAATTGTTGGTTATAAACTGCTAGTGGTTATAAATTGTTGGGTATGGTGATTCCTGCCTGTAATCCTGAGTTAGAGGCCATCTGGGCTGCATAGTGAGTTACAGGCCACCCTGTAGTAGATAGCAATATTCTCTCAACAACAGCAACAATAACAAAAATTAAGTTATTTTGTACCTCAGTTTTCCAAAAGGCTTAGAAATACATGTTGAACATACTAATCCAATTATTTAATGTAAAAGTCTAAGATTTTCATTTTTTCAATTATGAACCATTTTTGTTCTGTTTTTATAAGAATAAGCAGGTTTTGAGGCCTGGATCATAGATATGGAAATTTCACTTTCCAGGTTTGTTGGCATTTCAGCTGACAGTTAATCCATATTTGAAGCTCCCACTGAATTTAAGCATTTCGTCTCCAACCTAAACACATTTTGAAACCAGAAGCTAGCAAGAGTTGTTTGTTGACTTATGATTTTATATTATGTCAAATTTTTATTTTGCTTTGTATAATTTTAAGCTCTATTGGATTTGAGATGAAATGGCCTTTTAATTCCAACTATCTAATGTAATTAAATTGTATTTTAATATCAGTCCATCAGATTAGATGCTTAAGTGGTGGACACACAGAGGAAGAGGAAGTTGCTGCTATAAACGATTTTCATTTGTGGGAAGGGGATACAAGAAAACCTCAGAAAGCTAAAGCATTATCATTTACAGGAATTCACTTCTACCGAGAACTTCAGCACTAGATGGGCCTGGGTAAAAAAGATGCCCTAACTTTATAGCAATTAATTTTGCCAAAGTTAAGCAAGCCAGGTCAGTAGTGCAAAGACTCTAGAGATAATGCCACAGCCTGGAAATGATCACTCTTACTCTGCCCCCCAAAACTGTACACTTCCCAGCTGCGAGAGGCATTATCGTCCCAAGGCTTTAATTTTTTCCCTGAAGTTTTCATCCAAACCAAATAACACTACTAATTCTTACACAGCTTATATATCTGATTGTTGACAAGTTAACTTTTTACCTATAGACATTATTTGTGAATGGCCTTTCAAATTGGCTGGATTTATATTGTTTTTCTCCTGAGAAAATGTTAAATAATGTTATTGTAAAATATGTATAATGGGGTTATGGTTATTTTCCTGGGAATTAAATTGTTTAGATGCAAATCAATCATAACATCCAGTAAAACATCACAGTCTGAAAATATACATACTCATGTCACCTGATTCTAGGAAGATATTTAATGCCATGGTCATTCATCTATTCAAATATTTATTGAGCACCTGTTGTGAACCAGGAACTAATGAAGGCCAAGTTATGTCCTTCAAAATGCCACCTGCAGTGTAAGACCCCAAACCATAATATAACTGCATTACATGTGATGAGAGCACTGATCATTTTACTAGTCGATCATTTAGTCTTTGTTTTCACCATTTTTGCGTGTAAACAAAGAACACTTTTCAACAATTATAAGTAGCCTTCAAAGATGGACTAGGACCCTATCAATGCTTAAGCATCACAATATTCTGTTTACTCATCCACATGCAGAAGGTAATTTACAATGTAGGTGAAGTGCTGAAACCATCTTGTAAGGGGCACAGATGGGAAGTCTTGTCATATGACTTGAAACTCCCATCTAAGGAACTTATAAGTCTCTCAATTTGTGTAAATTAATTAACATGTTTAAACTCCGGTGTCCACAACTTTTAAAAATGGTGATTGGAGTTGATATGTTGGAAGGATTCAGTTAGAAAAAGCATATAAGTTATCAATAAGCCTGATCATAATTATTAGTCAGCAACATTGCTATGAGACAACTTTCCCAATTCTTAATTGGGGACAAGATTACATTTAATAACATAGCTTCCCGATAAGCATAATTTTACTTTGAAACAGGTGATTAGAATATTTGAGGCAGTTTAATTTTCTTAATAAAAGATGAGCAAATGGTGGCCAAACTAGGAGTTAGTACATTTCCTCACTAACTAATGCATTGGAGCCACTTACTTACTTTTTCTTATTGTCCACACCTAGAAAATAAGAGGACTGGGCCTAGGGACCCTGGAGCTCATCCAGTCTCTCAGATTCTCCAACTCTGCTAAAGGGTATTTCTTAGGCAACATAACCATATTTCACATACAGTGAGTATATTCATGACCTCACTAAAAGAAAGAGAGCGTCATGTTAATTGTCTTCTTATTACACCTGCTACCATTTGGTACAGTAAGAGCATACAGTCAAGTAAGATCATAAATCTGCTTGTCATTCAGAAATGCATGTTTATCCCTAAGATGGGTGCTGACTAAAGCATGCTCTGTATCATCAAAGACTTGGCTGTAGTTTGAGCATTGATATTAAGTCAAGTTCATTTCTGCCCTTTGACAATCTTGTTTATGAGTATTTTGCAAAGCTTATCCTCAGCATCTCTTTCCTCAGTTGACATCCTAGAAGATCTCCATTTCTTAAGAGGAAAATGGAGTTCCCTCCTCCAGGTGGCATCTGCAGAAACAGCTCAGTAAGCAAGAATCTCTTTTAGGAGACCTGTAGTTAGGCGACAACAGAGTGGGTGAGGTTAAAGAGAAATTTTTGCTTCTCTATGGGCAGTCATTTCAATTGAAATAGTATCTGTTTGTAAGCATTTTTGTTAAAATTAAATGAGAGATTTTAGCCCCACCTACCTACCCTCCTGAAGCTTTGGTTAAAAACTGGCATCTGTGGTTTTCATTTGAAAGGCAAATAGGACTTAGAAACGGTGTGTATGTGTGTGTATCCCAGGAATTTGTGATCAACATTTAAAATTCAGGTCAGGGACTCTCCTGAGAAAACAGCTAAAGTGACCTAATCAGAAACCCTACACAATACACAGATAACTTCACATCGTTCTTTAGAGTTATCCCCCACTGCTGTATTCTGCATTCAACAGAGATGCCTTTTGTTTATTTTTTTAGATTACTGTGTCTAGAATTGTGACCATTATTATAAAAGGTATAGATAGTAGCTTAAATACAATCAGATGACCAATTGTTAAACTTTTTATTTTATTTCACTCTTTCACTTTGTTACTTTTCTTCTGTTGGCCACACCCTTCAAAAACATTACTTTTATATGATATTGTGACACTTCCCCAAATTTGAAATTTCACTCAACTCAGCTATGATGCACCAATTTCAACTGGTGGAATTCTTCCCATGTTTGAAACATTAGACTTTTGGCTTTGTATTGAGTTAACCACTTCATTATTTCTCTTTTGTGCAAGCCACCATTGTGCTTGCACAAAAGTACAATGAAGGTAAAGATGAAACTTACTATACTTTTCTTTATAATTGTTCTCACAGAAACAAAATCATTTCCAGACATGTACATGTGGAGCATAAACTAAGTATACCTACACGGAATCCATAGAAACGTAAAATAAAAAAAAATTGCTTTCTCTTTTTCCTCTTTAAGTAACTATGTCTTTTATCCAGGGTTCCCAAGGAGCTTAGACACTCCTGAATCCTTAGTGTTAAAATGGAAAAATAGGAGACATTTTTGAGAAATATGTGCATGCAAAAGAATTGAACTAAGACCACATTTATGTGGACTATTCCTATTGTCAGTTAAGGAATCAATTGTGCATAGGCTCAGTTTACAGAGAGAGGGTATTTAATTGAATTTCCCCCATGACATGTAAGACTTTTTTAGTTACAGATTGTGGTTGAAAAAAGGATGTGCAAAAAGAATCAGATAAATATCCAGCATGCCAGCTTCCTCGACATATATGTTTAAACATTTCCCTTCCATTTGCTTAAAATTCAGAACAAATTCCTCCATTAGTGTAATTTCACACATTGTGATATCAACCATTCCAGTTCCATAAAGACTGGCCGAGAAGAGTGCTCACCCTGACTTCTCAGACATGGACTTGTGATGGACTTTCACCTTGATTTACCTAAAGCAAAGTTCTATACTCATATCATCTGAGAAAACTAGTACTAGCCTCATGGGCACTGTTTTGTTTTTTTCTTCTACAGTGTTTACCCAAAATTTTGTAATGAAATTGTTCTCCATTTGAAACCTTGTTTTTCCAAGATATAAAGGTTGTGACAATGCCATAAACCTGAATTTTTGCTACTTTTTCTGGCTGGCAGAGGATGAAAATTCTCTGATTTGGGAGTGAATTGCTCCCTAATACTTCATGTTCCATAGGAAGTTTCTAAAATTTTTGGCCACAGTGGTCCCTGCAAGGTAACCTTAAAGGTAAAGTTTATTTTGTGTTATTATTATAATGCTATTTGTGATAAGCAGGAGGAGCACAATGCAAAAAAGGTAATAACTCTCCTGAGGAAAGCCTAGAGATTTACCTTTACCCCAAATTTATGTTTGTACTTTATTTGCAGATGGGCAACTTTTCAAGTCTCCACCTTTTATATATTTGAGGTTTTCAAATAACAACTGTCTTAACATATCTTAATGCTGTAAGGACATCATTAGGATTTGAATTATTAAATTTTGATTTTCCCTCCTACTTCAGTCATTGCATGTTGCCTGAAAGAGATTCTAGTAGAATCAATCAATAAAAGTCTCCTGAGGCAATTGTGGTGTTCAGCAGGAGAATGGAAACTTTTATATTATTTGCATTTACTTAGACCAATTTGAAAACACACAGTACATGAAAATATAAGTATTTAAGTTATCAGGCTTCATATACATATGTAAAATACATATGTGAATTAATATCTAAAATATGCTAGCTTCGTGTAGTAGGAATAAATGAACCATACTAGACAGTGTGGTCATAACTCAGGCAGACCATATCAAAATTGTTTTTCTGGTAAAATAAAATCTTATAATCTGTCAAACATTAGTCCTAAAAATTCACTTTGATTATGCTTGAAATCCTAACCCCAACCCCACAATGGTCATGCTCATTTTCTCATTCTTAATGTCATCTAACTGCAGCTGTTCTTCCCAAAATGGGAAATGTTGGAGTTATAAGCAAGAAAGCTTACTTACAAAGACACTGATTACTTTTTTCTCAGAAATCAGATTACTTTGCAGTTAGTTTTTCTCCATTATCTCCCTTCCTCAAATGGGTAAAATGGGCATAAGCCATGTAAATGCACTAGTGTCATAAATCAGATATCCCCCCTAACTTTCAGGTGTCTTTGCAAATGGTCTTAAGAGACTACACATTTCTACTAATGTTAGCGGTTCCTGCAAAAGTGCCAGTAGCTGAGGTACTTTTTGGAGACTTGAGCCAAATTGTTCCAGATGCTTACAAGGCAGTATTTGCAAAGTAGACAGTCAGTTTAATAAATGGCTGACTAGAGCTGCAATAGAAATCATCTAATTGAGTTGGAGTTTATGATTGATTGATTGATTTTAAACAATAGCCAACCTTTTTTTCTCTAGGATTTTTATACTTCTCCCTCTAAACTTTATAGGTATTTCAAGTTCTTGACCTTCACTTTAGTCCCCTGTGAAGTTGTAGTGTTTTTCTCAAGTCTGTGTTCACTATTTCTTAAATTGTTAATGTCCTTCACATAGTCCCTTTCTTTGCAGAGTTGGATAACACATGTTACAGAAACACAGCACAATTTCTGCATGTGTGCCTCATGTTTTCTCATTAATTTGTGCATTTGGCAATTGGCAATATATACAACAAATAAAATCAATTGTAGCATTATACAAAATGTGAAAAATTGGGAAGGGAGTTAATTTTCATTCTTGCCCTGTGGTCATTATTCCATCCTACTTGATTGTAAATTCTTAGATACTAAAACGACCAAAACTATATCATGCAACCTCTTCAACTGGGTGATTTTAAAAATTTTATTTAGAAAAAATTCACATTTCTACAGCACCAAAAACAACATTGAGATTTCTCAGTGAGAATGAACAATAATATTTAATATATAGCTCTTCCAGATATGGAATGCCTACATTTCTGGAATCCAAAATATTGCTAGGTAGTTGAAGAAATTAGGAATTGAGACACTCCAACAAAATTGGTATGTGTCCCAAGTAAAACAAGTGCACCTAAAGTTTCACAGAAGATATTTATTGTGATAAGACTAAGGAAACCTTCCTGATATTGACTGGTATTACAATATGTTTCTCAAACAGGTTTATGTCTAATCAACCAAGAAGCAGTTTTAGCTTTGGTGTATGACTGATAATTTGGCTTTTTTTGTGTGATAGTGTGTCTTTTTGTTTTTGAGAATGCAAAATTAGGCTGATCCAAATGTGCTGAGAGTCTGTTGTAAAATATTTATGGTGTGGAATAGTGAGTAAATAACTAGCATGCACAACTTGAATGCCAATTAAAACAGCCTAGAACATATTTTCGATGCTTTTAATAATTCAACAGGGCTTATTTTACTAATGAAAATCTAGTTTAACCATTTCCATGGCAATGTAACTAAGTGGGTAAGGGAGTAAAAATAGCCTGAGGCTCACTATAGTCCTGGATGCCTTCATTGTGGCTTTATTTCCACTCTAGCTAATAAAACATGCAAACTTCAGCATTAAGTATCCCTAACTAAAATCTATTCCATTTCATAACCAGATTGCTTAATCTATTTAGTGCTGGATCCAATTAGCATGCTTAGAATATCTGAAAAATTAGATACATACCAAAATGTAAGTCCCCAGGGAGAGCTAAGTGCAATAATCGGAAGGTGACTTGTGTCTGTCAGAGCCCTCTTTCTCGTCTGATATCAGGGCAGCTCTGGAGAAGTAATCCAGCACCATAAGAAATAGATTTGTAGTTCAGCTCAGTATTTCTTCAATTAAAGTGCATTGTATCAGGATGGGAAAAGTGTCGAATCCCAGATTCTTCATCACTAGAGATCAGAGCATTCTTGATGTCCTTCCTATCAGATAAAATGGCCTTTAAAGTTTGCTAGGAAGATGCAGTGGCAGAAGACGGGTGCTTGCTTCCTTAAATCGACATTCAGAGAAAAGAGGGCATAGCTAATGGGTGGGGATGAGCACACAGCCCCTCTCCTTCCAGGTCCAGCAGGGAAGAAATTGAATGATTTTACCCACTTTGCTACACAGATAATTACGAGACCAGAAGCAATCACCAGGCTGGCTAAGGTACCTCATTTGATTATATTCTGTGAAGACAAAAATAAATGAAAACAAAAAATCAGAAACATCCTCTCTAAATGTCTCCTTTAAGCCAAAAAGATGCTCTTTCTCATTGCAACTTACATACAGAAGGTTTGGAGCAGCCTAGCTTGTAGCACCGTCCCTCCCCCATGACAACCAGCTCTCTCTTGCTCTCTCTCTCTCTCTCTCTCTCTCTCTCTCTCTCTCATTCTCTGTCTCTCCACTCCCTCCTCCCTGCCCCTGACTCCCTCCCTTCCTGCTTCTCTCTCTCCTCTCCAGCTGCCTTAGTCTGTTGATGCTGCTGCTGATTAATCAGGGATTCTGAAACAAAGAACCTACCTTCTGAAATAAGCAGTAATCTCTCTCCTCTGCTTCTGCCATCCGTCTGCACCAAACAGCAAAGCTGCCTGCATCCTAGCACCTTGGATAGTTCCTACTCCCTAGGCCCATTGGAAAAGGGAGAAGAAGCAACTGAAGAAAGGACAAGAAACCCAAAAGCAGCATCGTTCTACTTTGGATTTTGGCTCCCTGGGGGTTCCCATCCTCATTAAAGGCCTCACATATAGGCAACAGAGCCTCTCTCTTATCTAACCGAGCTGAAGTCTGATTAGCATATAATAAAATGAAAAGAGAGTAAAGAAATCCCTTCATTTATATCCACTATATGTAGTGGATACTAATTCTGTCTTTATGGAAAAAAATACAAATCCATCAAAAATTACAATACATCTTCTTAGTACAGAGGATGTTTAAGTTATAAGCTTTTCACCCTGGGTGGGGCTAAAAAAATGAACAACTTAAATAGAACATCGGACCTCAGTTTGATACCCTTATTTGATATCAATTTTGCCTCCCCACTCCCTGCACAGCCGAACCATGCACACAATTACTGCTGACGTACTTGAGGCTGCTGCTTGGGGAACGAGGGGAGGAGCCTTTTAACCTCATCAAAACAGCTTCATACCACCTGCTCCTGTGGCATGGGAACAAAACTAGCCCGCTTGCAAAGAACATGCACAGCAAACATGCATATAGAACAAAGGTCTCGCTCAGAGTGCACATTTTTAAACTAAAATAAAATGCAGAATAATTGTGGCATGTGTATTCTTAACTCTTATAGATTCACTGCTGAAATTATTTAAAGTCATTCTATTTTCTGCTTTTCCTGAAGACTCTCCTCATTCTGTTCTTCATGTCCTACTGAGAATATACACAAAATTCATGTTTCTATCACAATTTGTATGTGCATATGTGTGTCCATACATGTGCAGATATGTGTGTATGTGTGCACACACATGCATATCAAGTCCTAAGTTTTTATCAAGCCTGTTTTTCCTCAGTGTAGTAGCAAATATGGATTTTTTAATATGTTGAGTTTTTACTATGGTAAATGTAACAATAAGCAATGGATTCCTGCTTAATTTGGGTTAAGACATCAATTTTGTTATGGGAAACTGTACTTATCATTTAATAGTGACATGTATAGTTCTTCACATCACTTTTAACCCCAACAAACTTTATTGTAAATGACCTTCACTTGCCAACTGATTTTCCAAGAGTTAAACATTTGAACCCACAACTTATTTCTTAGAAAAAAGTGTTTTATAATGTTTTATGCATCGATAGACTGTAAAACTGTACTTAAATTCACCTCCTAATTCTGAAATACCATGTGGGATAGTGCTTGCTATTATTTTATATATTTTGTTTCTTTAATATGTAAGAATCTCGGGCAAATAAAATCAACAAATTACATTACTCCAAGGTGTCAGACTTCACATTTTTAAAACTTATTACTTACTCCCTGGTCTTTCTGCATCTAACTTTTGGTTGGAACAGGACTTTTGCTTAACACTATGAAGTACTCTGGAAGAAAGATGAAAAGAAGGAAGGTAAATATAATTGTAAACAAGAATGGGCCACATTGCTTCATTCTCTCTCTCTCTCTCTCTCTCTCTCTCTCTCTCTCTCTCTCTTTCTTTCTCTGCCTAAAGAAGGCCCTAAAACCTGTACACTGCAAAACCTGCTTCAAGTACCATTTGCAACCTAGCAACAGTAACCACACTGCAGTGGTCCAAGGGTTTACTAATGCAACATTGTGGGTAGTGAAATATTCTCATAAATTATCTTTTTTTTTTTTTTGGCCATGGTGGGGTTTGAACTCAGGGCTTCATGCTTCCTATGCAGGTGCTCTACCAGTTGAGCCACCCACCAGCGCTAATTTGTATTGGGTATTTTCAAGATAGAATCTCATGGACTATGTACCTAGGCTGGCCGTGAACCACAATTCTCTTGATCTCTGCCTCTTGACTAGCTAGGATTGCAGGCATGAGCCACTGGAGCTCAGCCATAAGTTACCTTTTATCACCTGTCCAAAGGTGAAATTTCGAACTATATTTAGAGGGCTTCAAATAAACATGCATTTCCGCATATGAGGAAATAAGACCCGGATAAATAAAATGACTTGCTTCCAGCCTCACACTTAGGTTAAGACCCACTGTCACTGTGTGGACTGCAAGTCAAATCATTGTTGACCAACATAGTGGTTCTCTGTCATCCTGACTTTATGCACCACCATAGTTCAAACACAGTAAGGAGAAGCTCGCATATAGTTGCCAAGTATAAAAAGATTCTGACCATTTTAATCATAAAAATCCAAAGAACAGAGATGGCATATGTGTATAATAATAGTCCTTTAAATTGTTTATTTTTAACTTTAGGAAATTAGATACTGTTGCCTGCCTTTCTTTCTTCTTTCCTCCTTTCCCTCCCTACTGTTCTGTTTTTCTCCATCCCTTTCCTTCCTCCTCTCTAACATTCTTCATCCTTCTTTCCTTCCCTCCTTTACTTTCTTTTCTCCTCCTCCCACCACACACATGTCACAGAATAGGACTTGGGAACCAATCCTATCTTCTCAGTTGTACACTATCTTCATTCTAGGCCTCAGTCTCTGTTAATTGAACAATTTCTTCTCTGGAAAAATATCAGGATATGGGAGTTTATAGAACCTTTAGGGATAGGTGCTTAGTTTTGTGAACTCACACAAAGAGGAGAATCAGAGCCCTGAAAATGCTTCTTATGCTATCAATCAGTCAGATGGTTTTGTGGGGGGGGAGAGATACTTTTCATATAAAAGTGAGAATCAACATAGAACAATTTAGTTGCCTAATTTTTAAGGGTTTATTAAAATATATCGAGGTACTCTCTAAAATCATGTAATAATTTATAACAAAGACTTTCTAGTTTTTTCCATGATCTGTAATCTTTCTATTATTCATTTCACATTTAACTTAGGGAGGTGCACTCTGTTATAATGAAATTATTCCACTAGGGGAAAAGCTACTCTCGTTCTCTCCAATCAGGATTTCTAAGCATTCTGAAAACAGCATGAGATGAAAGTCTTGGTAGAATGAGAACCATATGCTTCTCATGGTTTTTGCCTATAACCGCATAGAAATTGACTGGAGTTATGCATATAACTTAGGGATAGTGGAACAGCAGATGGCGATATGGGTGCTCCCAGATCCAGAGTACTCAGTGACAAACAAAAATCATTATATAACAATGTACACAAAAGCTATATTTATAGTGTTGGAGACAAACTCACCACAGATGGGCAAGAAACTTATAGATGGACCCAGACACCCCCCTTTTGTTTTATCTAGATATTTCTAGTGATTATTTCAGAAATACTATAAATATATTTATCTCTATATTCAAAAGTTTAAAAAAAGGATCTGCTGGTAAAAATGGATCTGCATAACTAATGAATCAGACACTCCTACTCTAACAACCCCCTCCCATATTTGAGTGGATAACAACCTTCTCAAATTTTGAATATCAGATCTTCTTTACTGTAGTAGCCTGTCCTCATGTCAAAAGTGGCTGCCTGTAAGCTGGGTGCCAGTGACTCATGCTTGTAATCCTACCTAACCAGGATCCAGAGATCAGGAAGATTACAGTTCAATATTTAGAAGACTGTATCTCAAAAATACCCAACACACACAATAAAAGGCTGATAGAGTGACTCAAGTGGTACAGCACCTGCCAAGCAAGTGTGAGATCCTGAGTTCAAACACCAGTACCGCACCCCCCGCAAAGTGGTTGCTTGTTCTCTGTATTAGCAAACATTCAGTGAATGATTAAAAATAAAGTTGTGAGTGATTTTTGCATATTCTGCTGACATGCCTATTTTGGCTTTCATAGGTTCTTGTCTGAGATACCTTAATGTGTGGAATTCTATTCCCCAGTCCCAACACAGTGACAGCATATAGCTTATAGTAGGTGTTTGCTGACTGAATGCATGACTCCAGTTCTTAACAGGTGGCACAGTCTGTACAAGTAGAAAACTCAAACTACCTATACAGTGAATAAAATACTAGTCTCCAAAAAATAAAACTATAAATTCATGTTTAAAACTAAAAGTACCCAAACTAAAACCCAAATACTCAAGGAAGGAAAAATTTTTCTAAGGAATTCCATAATTTTTCTACCTGAAAAAATCCAAAACAATCAGTATGAAATTACTTAGAAATAATAATATTATTCTATAAGAAGACCCACAGCAAACATAAGCATAAGGATCTTATTTAGAATAAAAATAAAATTCTTTTGAAATATTGTCTTAGCTCAGGGGACTGTAACAAAATTCCACAGACTTGGTGGTTTAGCCAGTTCTGGAGGCTGGGAAACCAAGATCAAGGTGCTGGTAGATTTGGTTCCTGGTGACTGCCCTCTTCCTAGCTTGCAGATGGTGCCTTCTGGTTATGGCTTCATTTGACAGACAAGAGGGGAGAGAGAGAGAGAGAGAGAGAGAGAGAGAGAGAGAGAGAGAGAGAGAGAGAGAGAGAGAGAGAGAGAGAAAGACTGGCTTCTCTCCCTCTTTTTATAAAGGTACTAATTCCATAAGGACACCTGGTTCTCTTGACCTCATCTAAATGTAATTACCTCTCAAAGACTCCATCCCCAAGTACCATCACATTTGGAGATTCAGGCTTCAACTTATGAATTTGGGTCAGGGACACAAGCAATCCAAAACAATGACATAAATGTAGAGGGGAATTGAAGTATTCCTTCTGGAACACAAAGAATCAGTTTATAAGTATTTATGCAAATATTTATCACCATTTGTTATTATATTATTTGTACAATATATGTGGTATATATTTTACTATTGTTTCAATTTTATCAGTTTTTTCTTATTAGAATTCCAGCTTCAGGAAAACAGGTACCTTGCATATATTTGCTCATCTTTGCCTCCCAGTATACAGAATGATGTCTCATATACACAAGGTATTGAACTAAAATTTATTAAATAACTGAGTTATATAAGAGAACATAGCACAGCATGGTATGTACATAAACACACTAATAATTATGTATAAACAAACACACTATTCATAATAATAACAGTAATAGAGGACAGATACATGGTGTTTATTATA